TCTTTGCTGTATAGTTTTATGTTCTGTGGCAACTTGGACCGTATACAGGCTGACGGTCAGTTGGTTTAGAACGCATCCCACTCCTCTGAACCCATACCCGGTTTCCATAACTGACCAATGGTTAGTTTTCCGTTACTGGTGTGTTCAGTTCATTGGTCCAGTTTGATCAAGAGGAGAATTTGAGGAACCATGAGCAACATTTGTATGAGTTCATAATCGTGGAAACATACCAAGTCTATTGTTCGCTTGTTTCTTTTGTTGGCCTCGTTAACAAACGCCACACTAACTTATGATACTAGCGAGCCACGTTACAAGAGAGGGTAGACAATTTGAGAGTAGCCTAATCGAAGCTGTTTGAAACTTGCATATGTCAATTACCATTGTGAATCCTGGTAAATGACTCAATCAATTGGTCGATTAGTTTCGATTATTTGTAGTAAGAAATAATCCAAATTGATCCGAATGGGGTTTATGATTCCAGTTCTCGATATTGGTCTTGCCTGGAGAGAAATGCACACATATCCTAACTTATCTCGAATTGTCTGACTATTGATTACTCTTGAAAGGAATTTCAAAGTTTTATCCTATTGTTTATAGACCTCTGTTAACTTGACCTTGTTGTTTTCACTGTGTATCGTCTCCATTTGCTTTCAACATTTCAACTTTCAAATTCCTACTCCTTCATGCAAAGGAGTGGGTTGTTGACCGCACAGTGGTTTAACCGCTGTCTACGGCATGCTTTGGACCCTATGGTCCGAGGTTCGGGTTCCGGTACCACCACTCAACTTTGTTCGTGTAGACGACAGTCAGATATCCCATGCACCTCGATGCCCGATTGAACTGGTGATCACTGTCACAACCAGGAAGGTGTGTATGTTGTTCGTACACCTCCTCGTCGTTAACTTGGATTCAAGGTTTCTGGTCAAATTCCCTAGGGAAACTGAGGCTTTCTGAGTTGATGATCGTCTTGGCGATTCTAATCACCCTCAGATCGGATAAAATTACGACTATAGGCTTACACACGACGATTGAAAACTTGGCAACACCATCAACGAATGCTGAGATCATAATCACTAACTGCACATCGTGAATAGAAAATTCCGAGAACCACTACAGTAGAGTTGTATGCTAATATTCTACCACACCCCGAATCCTGATACACTTCATTTGCAGATATTCTCGGTGTCAACACTCGGTATTACCACTGTTCTCAAAGCAAGTATCATTCCAGTATCTCGAACAAACTGTTTTTTCATCCAAATTCATTGGAATCGGGGTGATTAATTGTCCAGAGTTATCTCATCCTAATAGCATGTCAACTTTCGTTGCTCCCATGTCTTTACTGCAAAAATCTCCCCGTTACATCATAATCATGCATTGTTTTAGTGAAGATGATAAATTGTTTCTTCTCCTTTAGGGTCACGTGCTCTTCTCATAATTTGTATAGCGTCGAACTATATTTGCAAATTGGACTTTATCAATTGGTTTACATGTCTGCATCGCGGTTGTCACACACACACACATACCCAAACCAACAATCGTGGATGAACAGAAATTGAAAAAAAGAAGCATGTATACCATGTTATCCGTTCACAAAATACCCACATTCCACCTGGTGACTTTTTTCTATCGTATGCTGTAAACCTTGGTGGAACCACGAATATGTAGAGAGAGAGAGGACTTGATGCCAGGTGGTGATTGTGGTGATGGTAGTGGTTGCCATCGCACATGAGCAGAACATGTCACGGCCATAATCATTATTTGCTTTCGCCGTTGGTGTGGAAAAGATTATTTCATTAATTGGAAAAAATTATCATCGTGTGACACGTTTCACCGCAAACCGAGTGCCAATTTTCTCGGCTCCCCCTGCTCCTCGTCGTTGTCATCGTGTATACCAACCATATCGATCAAAAAAAGTAGCTGCATCGAAGCACGCACTCACATCGTGCCAGAACTACAACGACGTGTATACGAATTACTCGACAAAAACAACCACACCTCTTCTCATCCGTTTCTTCGTAGTTGTGATAGCTATCACGAACACAGTAGCGAGATACAGATATGGTATGATATCTGAAATAGAAGGCGAAAATTCGTAGAGCTATTCGAATAATTCTAGAAAGAAAAGAAGAAGCAGTTCTTGAAAATTGTCTCATCTTTAGTTTGACCATGATAGGAATAAGTGTATCACACGGTCACATGCTTTGTTGTTCCACATTGATCTATGTTTCTCTAATCTTTTGCTAACCTATATCACTTGTGACACCGACACGATCTCAGTCTCGCCTTGAAATGCGGCTTTTACAATGCCACAACATCCACGACCGTACAGTATTCAGATTCACGTGATAAAGTTTTGACCCCTTCCCCCCCACCCTCAGTTTTCATTTTCAGTTTAAACAACCATTAACCGGACATTTAAGTGTGCCCATTTTGGTTGCCCATTTGGGTGAACAATAGGAGGAAAACACAAAGGTTGAAAGTAGGCTCGGGGAGAGAAAATTGAGAAGACGCACGAACGCCACTGTTTAGGACACTCAGACATATCACTCAGTGTGTCTAACCATCGGGTATAACCATCGTGCGGTCCCTGGCCAGGGAACCTAATGAGACCTATGTGACCCACACTCCTGGTTAGGGTTTTCATACTCTCATGCCAGGTCTTAGGNTTAGGTTGCCCACCGTTGGCTTTATTCCATTCACTACCTGCTTCGGCAAACATCGCTCGCCGTGGTAACCTATTTGGTGACATGTGTAACACATACCCTAACCAACGTAATCTATGGAGGTCGACCACTTGCTCCGGTGGGCGACCGCGGTTGCCTTAAACTTTTCGCCTGACCTCAGAATTGTTCGTTCGGCTGCCCCACCAGTTTTGTGTAATGCTGCGTAGACAGCGATGTTCAAACACCGACAGTCTACCCTATGATGGAAAACCTTTTTTTTCAAATCAATACAATGAATACAATGATTCTCAAAAATTTAATTGTGTATGTGTGCTTGGACAACGGCATGCCGTTCACACACAAATTAGGTCTGCATTGATCAACATTGCCCCCGCTATTCGATGCTTATCACTGGTTTGAGTCTCAATGACCTCAACGTAGCGAGCGAGATAGGTTAGAAGGCACCTGTTTCACTCAGCTCATTATCATAGCTGAATGTGCTGGGCAGCTGTTACGCTTTCAGAGGCTCTATATTATTGCGAAAATATGCGCGAGATTAGGTTAGTGGAATTCATTTGTGATCAAATAAAAGCACTGAATGTGGATGTTGGTATTCCGGTCACCAATCTAAAGGAACTGCTATTATTCTGCACACGTAACGTCCAGTTTCTATTTAACGGTACTATCTATCGTCAGATGGACGGGGTTGCTATGGGATCGCTACTTTGTCCGTTGCTAGCTGACTTCTTTGCACACACACATTGAAGGATTAGCACACTACAGTAGATATATGGATGATATCTTCTGTGTGACCGATCGTAAACATGACATCCAACAGATAATGAAATTGTTTAACGAAGCACATCCATCACTGGAATTCACTGTAGAGGTTGAAACGAATAACATATTGACCTTTCTGGATGTGGCCGTGTCCAGGAAAGAAGATGGATCAGCAAGAAGACAGGTCCACAGAAAGAAAACATGGAATGGCCAATATACCAACTTCCATAGTTTTTTTCCTGCGAAATATAAACGCAATCTAGTCCGGTGTCTAGCCTTCCGAGCCCGGAAGATTTGTTCAGCAGACACACTGGATGAAGAACTACGCTTCATCCGCCAAACACTGCAGGACAGTGGTTATCCGGAGAAGTTCATCGATAAGAATATTCGACTCACTCCGGAGAAGGAAAACGCCAGCTGTCTCCAAGAAAGAATTATTCATAAAGGCCCCATTTAAGGGGGACTTAAGGGACTTATACACCGAGAGCCTAGTACAGTCACTGAAGGCGGCTGTAAATTCCACCTTCCCCGCAGCAAAACTTAGACCAATATTCTCTACATCGCCCGTGATGCGAATGCAAGTGAAAGACAAACTGCCGAAACTGACCTCATCCATGATAATCTACTCTCTTAAGTGCGTCTGTGGTGCGTGTTACATAGGTCGTACGGTAAGGCGTTTGTCTCAACGTGTTAAGGAGCACCACCCGCGATGGTTGAATCAGGGAAAAACCGGCTGTATCTCAAGCGTCATTGTGGGGCATCTCGTCGACAACGGCCACAAGATCGATCCGGAGAAAGCTTTTGATGTGGTTTATCGCATCCCAACCAGTCGCTCAAGGGCGGCCCGAGTTTGGACACTAGCTATGGCCTAGGCGATCGCCATTCGCTTACTAGGCCCCGACCTGTGTGCCCAAAAGCGATTGGTGCAGGCGCTCCAATTGCCTTGGCCGTGTGTCAAAACCAAGACGGAACATGACGTGTCACTTGATCCAAGTGGGGAAAGGTCACATCAACTAACACGTTAAACATTCCTACACACACACACACACACACATACACACTCCTATCACTCTCTACCTCCGAATATTGACTTTAAAATGAGCCAATGGCTATGATTATGTAAGAAATTTTTCACCATATGATATGTAAGAGCATGACTAGGAATATCCGAAAACAATTGTTCGCTCACCGACTCGTTTTCTCAGATTAGGTTCCCTCGTTGGCAGTCATACCGATTCTCTGCTCTGTATATTAGTGCATGGTAAGAATCATTGGACCGACAGATCCATCTTCGTATTCGCGGAGCTATGTTGTGCAGTGGTGACCAAATGGGTAAGGCCATCAAAAGAGTGACCCGGAAATTACGTACGGGTTCAAACCATTCCATCGCAGCTCGTGTTCTCCATTTCCGTATCGAACCGGGCAGTCTGTGTGGGATCGCGCGGTTCCCTTTCTGAAAGTTGTTTTTCGTACGCTTGTATATATTTATATATATTTAATAAATTAAAAGAAAGAAAGTAAAAATAAATTTCAATTTTATTTCATTCTCTGTAGAGGCCTCGTAGGACGAAAGATCTGTTTAGCTCATAGTTCACTGTGATGATTAATCAAAACCGTGTCAACGCACGCTTTTCAGTCATCAAACCGAACTTTCTTGTTGATATTTTGAATCAACTTGAGGATGTGCGTTTTTTCACGTGTTGTATTTTTATTGCTTTTTCTTTCTTTTCTTTTAATTTTTTCTTCCGTTCATTAAATATGCATTGATAACATTTTTGGGAATGATGAAACGACCAATCAGCCGGTTGCCTAATAATGCAAATGGGGAAGTCAAGCGGCACTGGTGAGATTGCAACATATGTCCCCCTCCGCGGTGTGTGTGTGTGTGTGTGTGATCATTTGGCGATCCTTAC